TTGTTACCCTGCAGGTTCATCTGTAGTTGTGTCAGTTTGATGTTTAAATATGTTCTTTACTTCCATGAAAGCAGGGTTAAGGTTCCCGTAGGAGCTCGTGCGGCTGAATGAGCAGAGGTGATGGAAAGTTTGAAGTCTGGAGGCAAAGCCACAGAGACTTGTACAATCACAGAACAGATCATAAAAGAGTTAGCACACACGTGTATGCTCCAGAGGACCACTACTCCTGTAGAGGAGGATCAGCTTCTCTACTGAAGAACAGAGTTTGGGTTCAGTTCTTCCTACCCTGCGATAGGCACCGACTGGGATTCGAACCCTGATCTCCCAGTCCCAGCATGGACACTCTACCACCAGGCCACTGGGAAGGTTGGCGAGAGGAGCAGAAACTCGTGGTAACGGTGATGAAGAAGCACCAGCATCACCATCCAGGACTCATCTCACCACCTCAGGTTTTTAGGAGAGCAGCTGAGCCGGTTCCAGACGAGTCCTCCGGATCAGACGCTCCCTTCATCCTGACCTTCTCTCTTTACCATTCGCCTGCTCTAACATTTACCTCACATTCCTTCAGCAGCATTCCTGTCCTCTCCCTCCTGCCACCGTCACACCTGTTCACCTCTGCAGGACTAGGAACGGGCCCAGGACCAGAACCGGAACTAGGATCCTCCCGTTCACACACACACACAACGTCCCGTCTTCCTGTTGGTTGTTTGAACTTTAAATAAAAACTTGTTTCAAGGCTGATGATCGAATTCTGACCCATTTGTCAGGATCGGGTCAATCAGAACCGTCCCGGCTTCTAACGGACCACACGTCAGCGCTAACACGTCTGCAGGTGAGCGCTGACTCACGACCAGGTGCTCCCTGTCCTTGCGTCTGTCACCAAGACTTAATCGAGTATGTGTGTGTGTGTGTGTGGGGGGGGGGGTGTTGGAGACACATCAAAGGCGCTGGTGTCAACGAGCGACGTCAGTCAGAACCACTGAGGTGTTTCAACATGTGGACCAGAACCTTATTTTCTGACCAAGTCCTCCAAACACACCCACATCACCCCGCTTCTCCTCCAGCTTCACTGGCTGCCAGTCAACTCCAGGGTTCATTTCAAGATCCTGGTTCTGGTCTATAGGGCCTTACATGGACAAGCACCATCTTACATTGGTGATCTTCTTAGTCCCTACACCCCCAGCAGGTCCCTGAGGTCCAGTGATCAAAGCCTACTGGTTGTGCAGCGCACCAGGCTAAAGGTCAAAGGTGACAGATCATCTGCTGCTGTGGCCCCCAGACTCTGGAACTCTATCCCCCTTGAGCCTGAGATCAGTGGACTCGGTGGTCTCCTTTAAACTCACTTGTTCAGGCTTTGGTGTGACCTTCTTCACCTCCCTCTCTTTATTCTGCTCTCCCCACCTATTCCACCTTCCTCAAGATCCACTGATTTCCCTCTTTCCAGTTCACTCTCTCTCTTTCTTAACATTATTTAATTACAATTGTCTATTTTTTGCTTATTTGAAATATATTTTTAAACATTTTCTAAATTATTTTTTATATTTTTACATTTTTTGTTTTTGTGAAGCGCCTCGTGATTTTTATCTTGAGAGGCGCTTTAGAAATGATATTTTCTTCTTCTTCTGATTAAAATCACGACAAAGAAAAACTTCATCCTGAAATCCAAAGTCTCATTTATGCCAACGTTCCTATATTCCTTCCTACAACGGAATTTAGGATACTCCTGATTTATGAAACGTGTGTGTGTGTGTGTGTGTGTGGTGGGGGGTGAACTTGAATTGAATTGACATGAGAATGTTGGACATGGGGACATTTGATATGAGGACAGTGGACATGGAGACAGTGGACACAGGGACAGTAGTTTAAAGAGTGGTTTATGGTCTGTATTTGATAAAGCACCTTCTGGAGTCCTACCCCCCCCCCCCCAACATAAAGACATTCACCCTTTCACATCCTGTTGGGAATGAGCTACAATGTGTCCACAGCAGCTTGGGGCGCTCTGACGGAACAAGGCTGCCGAACACGGGCCACCGTTCCCTCTGACCACCATCAGCAGGCAGGGAGGGTTAAGGGCCTTGCCCAAGGACACAACAGCTGATGGGGATCAAACCTCTAACCCTGCAGTTACTGGACAACCCTCTCTACCTCCTGCTCTGCCCCCTGAAGGAATGATGGGAATCAGTAATCAAATAGTTTTGGTTTCTAAAAAAACACCCTGCATCAGTGACGTCTCATTCCCGTCAGCTGGTCTGAACTCAGAGAAAACTTCAGAACCAGGAAAGGAACCAGCAGCCGTTTTCACCGAAGCACAGACGGAACCGGACCCAGGACGAGCTCACACACACACACACACACACACACACACACACACACACACACACAGCTTCCTGTTCTTCTGCCTGTTTCTCAGGTCAGCGACTCAAACACATGCGGCTTCTGATCTGCTGACCAGCTAAGGCTGTGTGTGTGTGTGTGTGTGTGTGTGTGTGTGTGTGTGTGTGTGTGTGAGTGTGTGTGTGTGTGTGTGTGTGTGTGTGTGTGTGTGTGTGTGTGTGTGTGTGTGTGTGTGTGTGTGTGTGTGAACTGCTTGGTTTGGCCCGAGGCTGCTCGAGTCTGGAAAACTGTTCCATAAAAACCACAAGCGGCCACCGTCATCCGCATGAACGTTGAACCGCTGAGCAACCATGAGAGAGGAATTCTGACAACATCTGGAATGAATGAATGAATGAATGAATGAATGAATGAATGAAAGCATGACACCAGTGATGAGCTACATGTGTTTCCACACCGTCCAGCCACGATCACAGACCCGACCAGCGGAAGCTGAAGCTGCAGGAAGAGCCGTCGGGTTAATGGAGCCGAGAGGAAAATGAAGCATTAGAGCTGGAAACTCAGAGCGGGATGAAGGATGAGAGGGATGGGAAGAAGCCAGGAAAACAAACCAGACCAATGAAATATGTAAATGACAGAAAATCACTGCTGTCAGATTCAAAAGTTGCATCTGAACCGTGCGGTCGGAAAGCATGGCGAACGATGGGATCAGGAATCTGAGCGGATTCTGTTACAGATGCAACATTTTCCTCTGACAGCCAAATGACAGAAGTCACATGGAAACAAAATCATTTCAAACATCAGGGGGGATAAACTGTAGAGGAGGAGGCTGTTCTGGGATCAGGAAACCACCCTTTCACAATAAAAGCAGCTTTGACTGAACTTTTCATCCGGACTCGTCGCTAAACTGCAGCTTCTTAGAGTCTTAAGAACAAAAACTAAAATGTGACTCGGAGGTTTTGAACCAGAATTCCGCCTCACTGAACATCAGCTGGGAGGAAGAAACAAATCCGACTTTCACTTCCATTCAAACTGGGAGACTTATCCCAACAACCTTAACCGGTGACGAAAGACGCCTCCACTGCTCGCCTCACACACAAAAACAAACAAACAAATGTTTGTTTACACAAGGTGCCATTTTTAAACCCTGCAGCAGCGTCCACATTGGGACTTAGAACTTCCTGTGGTCCTTCACAATAAAAGTCAAACATTCACAGCTGAAAACCTCTGAAGCTCATAAAAGTTTCTTACTGCTGTTGTCTGGCGGAACTACAACAGCAATCCTAAAGCAGAGGAGTGAGACTCTACAGGAAGTTCAGCGTTCCCCTCTGTGATGGGAATGCTGAACTTCTTTATTTTTTAAAACTACGAGCTGCTGTGGAACGCTTCCTGGAACGGTCCAAACTGGATTTATTTCTGTAATTCTATGTTGTTGTTCCCGTTCTTATTGAACTGTTTATTTACGGAAGGCTGAATAACTTTATTTGTCACTGTCATTATGGACAACAACAATCGTTTATTAGAGTTTAAATGGTAACAGCATGGAAACGACCCGGAGCTGCAGGTCCTTCAGAACATCCACTGATCCGTCTGATTCCCTCACTTGTGTGTGTGTGTGTGTGTGTGTGTGTGTGTGTGTGTGTGTGTGTGTGTGTGTGTGTGTGTGTGTGCGTGTTTGTGTGTGTGCATTTGTGTGCGTGTGTGTGCGTGTGTGTTATGTGTGTGTGTGCATGTGCGTGTGTGTTTGTGTGTGTGTGTGCGCATGTGCATGTGCGCATGCATCTGTGTGTGTGTGTGTGTGCATGTGCGTGTGCATGTGCGTGTGTGTTATGTGTGTGTGTGCATGTGCGTGTGTGTTTGTGTGTGTGTGTGTGTGTGTGTGTGTGTGTGTGTGTGCGTGTTTGTGTGTGCATGCGCGTGTGTGCATGTGCGTGTGCGTGTGTGTTATGTGTGTGTGTGCATGTGCGTGTGTGTTTGTGTGTGTGTGTGCGCATGTGCGCATGTGTCTGTGTGTGTGTGTGTGTGCATGTGCGTGTGCATGTGCGTGTGCATGTGCGTGTGTGTTATGTGTGTGTGTGCATGTGCGTGTGTGTTTGTATGTGTGTGTGCGCATGTGCATGTGCGCATGTGTCTGTGTGTGTGTGTGTGCATGTGCGTGTGCATGTGCGTGTGTGTTATGTGTGTGTGTGCATGTGCGTGTGTGTTTGTGTGTGTGTGTGCGTGCGTGTGTGTGCGCGTTTACATGTGTGTATGTGCATGTGCGCGTGTGTGTGTGTGTGTGTGCGTGTGTGTGTGTGTGTGCATTTGTGTGCGTGTGTGTGCGTGTGTGTGTGTGTGCGTGTGTGTGCGTGTGTGTTCCCTGGCTGAAGCATCCCACCTCTTACATAACTCCTCTGCTGCTCAAATACAGAGAGAAGAAAAACAAACAGAATTTGTTTTTCTCTCCTGAAAACTTAAAGGAGTTTTTAGAAAAACAGACGAGTCACACGTTTAAGGTCCGAGTCCCACCCTGACTTCTGTTTGTTTGTTTGTTTGTGTGCTGAAGAGGAGACACGGAGGTGTCTGTGGGCCTGACAGCTGCAGGAGCAGCCAAGACGTTCCTCCTCCTCTCATTTAGGGAGTAAATAAGGATCTGGAGCAGACTGGATGCATTAGGAGTCGGTTCCTACCAGTTCTGTGCAGAGAAATCCAGAACAGAACAATCCAGAAGACAGGGTGGAGCCTCCATCGTCCACCAACTCCTTCAGAATAAAAGTCCCTGAAAACAAACAACAAAAACTTTAGCCTCTTTTATAGGACACACCATGCCGGTAAATCAGCGCAATATTACCGCAATGATATGTCTATAAACACGCCATGCCGGCATGGCGTTGCGCAAATTTAGCGGCATTTGTTCCACCTCGCTTGGTAGTAATATTGCGGTAATGGTCTGTCATGTGAGCCCTGGCGCCACAGAGGCAGATGTCATGATGACGTGGGGAGTTATTGCTGAGCTCCGGCTGGCAAATTTATTGAAAGTAAACACGGGCAATAAGGTTTGCTTTTTGAACAAAATCAGCTGAGATGGCAAACTGGAGCGCCGCAGAGCTCCGTGAGCTTCTCTGTTAGAGCTGAAGCTCAGACCACCAGAGACTGCACAGGGACTGATGGGGACAGACACCTTTAGGAGCTGCTTGTTAAAAATAACTTAACGATCACAGCTTCCATCGCAATAAAAAGCAAGTTATGTCCAAGATAAACAGAAGTCTGCGGCAGCGCAGAGACCGCCCCATACCCCCTTTATGCCACCATCACCCAATCTTTTATAAAATTGCCACGACTGCGCCACATTACCGCCACGTTCTGATCTTATAAACGACCTTTATCCTCCCCAGGGAGCCTCGGCAAATCCCATTTTGCAAACGCTATGGTCCTGTAAAAACAGTATTTGTGACAGTCACTGGGGATCTAAACCGGCGTTTTCCGGTTCTGGATCACTGGGAACCCAAACCTTCAAATAAATGAAAACATTTTTGAATGTTGGCATGGATGACACAGAAACAGGAGCTGAAGGTTTTTCCTCACAGATGAACGAGTGAGGCGGGATCAGAGCGCCACCTACACCGCGGAGAGAGCCACGGTTCCCCAAGGAGCCAATCAGAGCGCTCCCTCAGGAGGTGGGGGCCAGTGAAAGTTGCTGCCCCCCCCCCCCCAGGAAACACCAGTGTCAATAAATCACATGAACTCATTTACTGCAGCTGACGGCTGAAGCCATCAGGAGCATGTTTTTACGGGCCGGGTGTGGGAACGAGCCCCCCCACCGTGAGAATAAACACGTCTCAAGGCTGATCTTCACCCGCGTACGTCACACGTCACATGATCAGGAAGCAGAAAATCCGTAAATTAGGAGACGGTTTTGGGACGCCGCTGTGGAAAAAGCGAGATGCTAAGAGGAACAGCTTCTGTAGCTCACAGTTCCACAACGGAATGTTAAAGAAGGAATAACGCTAAAAACGCGCTGATTGTTCCTGATGTAAGATGGAAGTCCACTCGATCTTTGGTAGATTCTGCTTTGACATCATCGTAGAGCACAACGCTCACAAACAGTACAAACGCCAACAATGCTGGCAGCCAGGGCTCTCTGATCAGGACACAATTGGTCGGCAGTGAATGGGTTCATGTTTGCTCAAACCATAAACGCTTCTTATTTATTACAGACATAAACGTAAAACACAATTAGATTATACGGTAACGACATCATCAGAATTTTACATATTTATGTTTCTGCTGCTCACCGTTTAGTTTATCTCTAGTTTTAGTCACAACAGCAGCAGGTCAATCAAACTAAAACATTTCTAAAATATTATGGAATAATATTTCAAATAACTAAAATGTATTTTTCTGAGATGTTTGTGTTCCTCAAATTTGAGTTTTGGACAAATGTTGTCTTTAATAAAAAAGAATAAAGGAACAATGCATCGCCACAGGCTAAACTCTCACAGAGTTACCTCAAGGACCAATCACCACCCCACGCCAGAAATTTCTGGGGGCCCATCTGGCCCCCCAATCACCATTTTCTGGGGGCACCCCTTGGTGAAGGCGGGAAGGTGAAGGACAGCTGAACCGCTGGTGCTGAAACTTCAGAACAAACAAGTGTCCACGTTGGGGACAAACACCAGGAGACAGTCGGAACTGGTTCTGCTAAGAGCAACGTGGTTCTCAGTCAAAAGTCCATCAGAACCGATCCTAGGACGCAAAGACAGAAGAGGATGTCTCCATCCAGCACCATGGTCTTCATCATTTGGACATGTTTTTAAGAGAAGTGATACGTTGGAAAGTTCTGCTTTTACGCAGGGGGGGGGGGGGGGTAGCATCTGTTACCATGGAGACAAAGTCAGGTGGGTTTACAGCATCTGTTACCATGGAGAAAGGGACAAGTGGGTTTACAGCATTTGTTACCATGGAGACAAAGACAGGTGGGTTTACAGCATCTGTTACCATGGAGACAAAGACAGGTGGGTTTACAGCATCTGTTACCATGGAGACAGGGACAAGTGGGTTTACAGCATCTGTTACCATGGAGACAAAGACAGGTGGGTTTACAGCATCTGTTACCATGGAGACAGGGACAAGTAACAGGTGACATCATAACTGAACTCGGACAAGAAGCAGATTCTGCTTCCTGGTTCAGGTCATATAAAACATTTACGAAGCATTTAAATCTCTGAGCTCAGAACCAGAACCAGAACACGAACGGTCAGTTTGGGTGTTTGGTTCTGAATCAGGGTCCAGATCAAAGTTCTTAAAGACATGTAAGAACCAGCAGGCGACTCCGACATTCCCGCCCATCATAAATATTTAATTCCAGCACCCAGAGCTGGAATTCATGCAGCCGCTGACATTAAGGAAAACTCGGCTCTTTGTCCGCTGTTGTCGGCTTCCCTCGCCTCCATCAGCTGAATGGAAATGACGAGCAGAGCGAGGTCAGCTGCATAAAGGCAGCGATTTATGCGTCTGCAGGGCTGGACGACAGCCCGGAGCCCGCCGCCTCCACGCAGACATTTCAGGGCCCACGGGTCCTGGATCCTCCAGCCCGGCAGCCTCGCTCCAGATTAAACCCTCCGTCCGAATGAACACGGCCGGAATCAGCGCTCCGCGTCCCTGTTTCTAACTGGAGCTGTGATTAACGATACAGGTTAAACCCCACTGATCACGCTGTGGAACCGGGCTGATTCTGGACCGGGCTGAAGCTGAAGATGAAACTCCGCCGGAGCGCAAAGGAAAACACTGCCTCAGGAGATGAAGTTTATTAGATCGGGTTCCCTCCGGTTCCGTTGGTGGAGGCGTTAGGGTCATGTGTTCATGAGCCATAGTGGAACCTAAGTGCTGCTGGTTGGGTTCTGGTAGTAAAGATCTGGTTCCCATGGAAACCGGGTCACCAGGTTTGTGCCATTAGTGAAGATAAAACATCAGTGTTACATTTTTACAGAAGAGTTGTGTCTCTGTCGGCCAATCAGAAGAGAGATGTCTGCATCTCATGAATATTAATGAGCAAGAGTCCAAGCCCCCCCCCCCTGTTATCTTTAGGTTCTGAATCTGACTCAGTTCCATCTTTACTCCTACCTAAAACCTTCAGCAGGATTCGTTCTGGGCTGATTAATCCACATTCCTTTTGGGTCTCCAGGGATCGGACGTCCTCACGTGACTCCCAGAGCACCTGGGGACACGGACATCTCCTTCCAGGACCTCTAGTCTTCGGTGTGTTTTACCTGCTCAGGTTGTGTAACAGCTGGCAGCAGGAGGGCCGTCCTTGAACAACACTGCCTTTGATTAGACATGTCCCCCGTCTCCAGCTGAGGACAGGAGACCGTCCCCACAGCATTCCGGATTCCAAACTACTGAATAAGACCCATTCAACAGAACCGGGACAGAACCATTACTTCTAAATGTAAATAAGTAACATTAAAAAAAACCGTAGTGTCCTTTCAAAATAAAAGCATGGTCTGCCCGTCTCTCGTGGGTCATTTATCAGAGCAGGAAGGACTCAAAGACATGATCAGCTGCTGCCTCTGTTCAACACAACGGTTCAATAAAGATCCCTGGATTGACTTTTATTAGTAAAACAATAATCAGGTCCTTTTGTTTCCTGCAGCTCCTGCTGCATTTCTAACCTTTAGCGTGTTTTACATGGAGACCAAATTGTTGGGTCCCGGGCCAGATGTGACCTGGCCTTGTTGTTGTTTACTGCTCGTCATGTTTCTACATTAAACAATAAAAACATTTCAGAGAAATAAAATGTGCTGAGTTCAACAGAACCGGAGTGGATTCCTGGAGTTTGGCTTTCCAGAGCCGATCCATCTGGTTCCACCTCACAGAACCAGAACATGGAGGCCTGGTTTTACAGGAAACAACTTTTCTGACTAAAAACGTGAAATCTGATCAATAATTATTTATATTAGATTTCTATTAAAAATAGCAAGAGTACATTTATTTTATTTCATTCTTACAGCAGATGGTTCCGACTAGTTCCTGAGGAGTCCATAATACCGACCAGAACCAGGATGACATTTTAATGGATCTGTGACAAACCGCAGGTTCCGGTCCAGTTGGTTCGGATTATTTAGTGAATTTAATTAAACTGTAAACTGAATAAAAATGACATGAAATCATTTTCAAGATTAATTTTTAAAATCTTCAGGAATTAGACCGGACCTTTCAGAGGTGATGGAGACGTTCGGTTCGGACCTGATGAGGGTGTGAACCTCAACGTTTTCAGACATCAGAACAAGTTTGACCCAAAAGGTTCTGGAGTGGAATCGAACAGAACGAAACATTCAGAATCAGCACCAGAAACTCACATCATGATCTCACTGGACCGGTTGCTGCTCCCCCCGCAGGATCATCTTCCTCCAGAGTAGTCTCTCAGCGTACTGGTCTCGGTTCGGTTCTGCTCCCAAAGTCCAAAAAGTCCCGAAACATCCGAACTGCGTCTCGGGCACGCGCAGAAAGTCTTCAAAGTTTAAGAGGGAGGGGGGAGGGGGAGGCAGAATCTGAGTCCTGTCTGGGTCTACTCGCTTCACTGACCCGGACTCCCTGGCGGGGGCGGGGTCGCGGGAGCAAACTAAACCGCAAAACGAAGAAGATTGAATCGATCCGGACCACCAATCAAACAAGACGAGTCCAGTTCCGCTCCTCCTGCAGGTGTCAGACTCACCTGAGCGGAGTCTCTACTTAAAGTTTGTTTATACTTTCATCACCACGTGATATTCCACTGGTTAGCTCTCCTAGTTACCATAGTAGCACAGCCACACCTGCACAGCCAGAGCAGGGACATGCTGTCCTGGCTGGCAGCATGTTTTAGTTGTTTCCTTGCTCCAACTAACCTGATTTTAATCCGTAGTTGATTACCAGGCTTCCACAGAACCTGAAAACCCGGTGAGCAGGTGGTTCAACCAATGAATCAGGTGTTGAGAAGCAGGGAAACAACTAAAACATGCTGGATACTTCAGGACCAGGACTGCCTACCCCTGACCTACAGAGAGACAGGTGTGGAAAAGCTGGCTGGTTTTAAAATAGTTTAGCATTTCAGTAAAAGCACAATTAAGATTTCATTACATATTTGGTCAGCTTTAACAGGAGGTGATGACATCAGCTGTTAAACTGATGACAGCAGCCGTTACGTGATGAAATCAGCCGTTACGGGAGGTGATGACATCACACACAGTGGTCAGATACATAACTTGGTCTCACAACTGGGTCCTGCTGGTCTCCTGAACCCAGAGGAGCAGCCTGAACTCCTGATAACAGCAGCACAGATTCACGTGAGTTGGACTCAAACAGAACCATGGAAGTCCGATCAGGATCCACCAGAATATTTAAAAAAAGACTTCATTAAACGTGTGAAAAGGTTCAGGAACAGAAACAAGAGAACATAGTTTTAAATGTTTTATTCAAACTCAAAGTGATTCAGAAGAAAAACACCAGAAAAACCGGAGTTGATCCCAGTCAGAACCGCATCCTCTGGTTCATCTGGTGGGTTAGAACCCAGAGCTCATCAACCAGAAACTGAGAAGTTCTGATGAGTTCTGGACAGAAGATTAAAGAGGTTCTGCTGGTGGTTGCGTCTCGACCTATTCTGGACTCAGCGGGTCTTTGAGCTCTTCTACCATCATCGTGTCGTTAGAGGTTTAGCATATCTGGGTCGCTATAGACGGGGTGCTCAGCTGGATGTGTGTGTGTGTGTGTGTGTGTGTGTGTGTGTAGGAGAGTGGGGGTGCAAATTCAGATAAAAAATTTAACATTGAAAAACATTTTATTTTTCAGATTAAAACATTTGAGGATGAAATTTAAACAGCAGGAAAAGTCCTCCCAACATCAACCGCTTTTATTTTGAAGGAGTCTAGCTAACAGGAAACTAAAGCACCCTGATTTCCTGTCTGACATTTGCTCAGATTTCTGAGTAATCTCTGTTTTGCCTCAGAGATACAGGTGACAGCCTCCTCACCTCACACACAGCCAATCAGAATCCTCCTCCAGCATCAGTGCTGGATTAACCATGACCCAGATGATAGTACAGGTCAGAGCAGCTGGTTGACCTTTGACCTGCTGTTAAAACATTCAGTTTAACGCTACAAACTCAAGAATCAGATGTTTCCACAAACAGATTATTTAGTTTCAGGTTGTTTTTAATCTCACAGACTAAAGGAGGACATTTATTTAATCTGCTGTGAAACAATCAGGAAGGTGATGGATGAACTCGTCCCCAGCTGATGGCTTTGATCCGAGTCCACATGTCCATCTGTTATCCCGTCAATAAGAACCACACGCTCACACACAGGACACCATTGTTGCTGCAGAAC